TTTTTTTTTTTTTTTTTTTTGAAACTCCCAACACCGCCGGGCCCTTTATCCGCATTTCGGGCGGTTCGTATATTTTTATTATTATTGTATATATATATATATATGTATAATTTTTTGTTTGTATCCCGCACAAAAAGTGCGCTGTAAACGTCGCGATTCCGGTCCTCGTCGATAAGGACGCGCCGCGCCAAATCCAATACTCCCGGTGTGAACACGCGTCCGATAATACTGAATCGCGTTTACACCGTGTATTGTCAACGCTACATACCCGCCAATCGCCAACCGTTACGTTAACCGAACGGGGCGAAAACAACGCAGTGTTGTTCCGTTTCCGCGGCGCCCCCGGACGATATCATTGCCAGGACGGGTGTCGCTATCGTTCCGCGTGGTAGTAACACGGCCGGCCGGCGACCGCAGCTGCCGATGCCGCAAACGGTGAAACGGCCGGCGCGCAAGTCGTGGGCCGCGGCGGTAAACAACAATAACGAGAACGGCTGAAAGTGACGGGTTTGACGGTTTTGTACCTGACGCGGGCTCGGCGCTCCGCGTCAGTCTTTTCCGTCGTTTTTATCCGTAACCTTTTTTCCGCGAGCGTTGCGCGAATAGAAACGACCAAAACGGCAACGTCCTAGAAATCGGCGCGAGTGGTACCTGGGCACAGGCGTGATCCTGGAACAATGGAAAGTGGAAACTGGTTATTTTATATTGAAAAACTATACTAGAAAGAAAAAAATAAAATACAAATAACAATAATAATAATAATAATAACAACCGAAACGCCGCATTAAGTGCGTGTACGTATCATTAATCATTTGGGTTTTTTTTTTCTACGTTTTCCGAATTTCCCGATGAATCAACGCGGGTAATCGACTTCGGACGGGAACGAGGACGTTATTGCCAACATAATTCGTAAAATTTCTAAAATGAATATTATATAATGTTTACGGAATTTAAATTTAACATGATTATTGGATAATCCGGTTGCTATACCCGCGCTGTATACGTGTTAACATCTTTTTCGCGGCCAATCCAACGCGGGAAATTTGTGTGATTTCCGTTATCAATCGGTAGTTCGTAGGACGTATTAATCCATGAGTGTAGAGCGCACGTTTGCAATCAAAGTCGGGCAAATAAACCGTTTGTGCGGAAAAAAAGAATCAGCTAATTTAAGTTAAATTGTCCCGAATTATCCCCCCGCCCAAAATAAAAAAAAAAAAAAACACGAAAAAAATAACTGATCTAGATTAAAGTCAATTTCGAAATACAAACGCGTATGAATGACCCTTTGGTGGGTCAAAAGTTGTGTTTTACATTTTCAGAGACGTACGATAAATTCGAGTCGGGTTGCATTTTTAAAATTAACCGGACTGATGAATCGTATGTGCGATATTTTACTCGTAACGTATAACGTGTGTAAAATATATACGTTTATAAACTTAGGTACCACCGTGCAAAACCACCCGTACGGTTCGCCGTTTTATGTATAATAATATTTAAGTCAAAATATGCGATTTTCGCTGAAAAAGACGTAGACGCACTAAACAAAAGTACGTTGTTATTTTTATGTACAACGAATTCGTAAATGATTTTTTTTTTTTTTTTTTTTGAAATAACATATATATTTTAACACAGTTAACTAATTTAAAACAGAATATGACGTTGGGTTTCGGATGGCCTCCCTCCGCATATGCGTCGGAAGTTGTATTGTTTTCTTTACGTATGTATAATAAATATTGTCACATTTACTTATTATGCCTCGAAGCGTAGATTGTTGATATTCTTTATTTTTTTTATTAAAAAAAAAAAAAATAATAATAATATTAATACTAATAAAAAACTTTTTAAAAAGACAATATGTATTAATTAAAATAAGAGTAACCGAGTTATTTATCTCATTTTATAGCTATCTAGTAAAATAAAAAAGATAATACAAATTAGTTTATACGGCGTGAACAAGTTTCCGCTCAACTTTGTCAGTAATTATAGAGATTACATAAATCGTTATTTTAAAGTTTTGAAAACCGCGAGAGTATTTACAAAACCATCGAACAGAATTTACTATTTTTTTAGCACGGTTAATCTACGTAGGTGTATAGGTGTATCTTTTTTTTTTGTTTCGGACTGGTTTAGTGTGCAATATTATAATACGAATGGAGGGTGCAAGAACAAAAAAAAAAAAAACCAGTAAAATCACTTTTTTCCGTCAGTCCGAGAGAAACGTGTTTTTAATTTCCAAACTCTATACGTTTTATTTTTTATTATTTTTTTTTTCACCGAGTAAAAAGTTCGAAATAAAATTAATAAACGCCAAACTCGGAAACATACCGACTCGACGGCCGTTCGGTGTTTGTCCCCCAGTATCGGTCGACTCGCCAGTTTTTTTCTCCAAACTCCTGGCGCCCGTTACTTTCGACTAATCTGGTCTTTCTGGCCGGTTCGTCCGCGTAAAAGTTACAGTACGCCAGTGCCAATTGTTTGATACCGATATCGTCATTTTTAGCGAGGGGGGAAAAGTGACTTTTCCGGTTTCCCTGCTCCCCCCCTTCCGCCCAGCTACAAATCCAGTCGTCACAGAATCGCAATGATTAACATGTTCTGTTTGTTGTAACAGTTTGATGTTCACTTGGGTACTACGTCTCGCGAAGACATATCGATTAAATCCTACACGTGCGACCCATGAGAATTCAAATCCGTGACGGTTCGACAGATAAAATCGCATTTTAATAGCTTTTTAACGCTGCTAAGTTAAGAACGATTACGCGCAGTACGATTAGGCGTACGGAAAGAAAAAAAATGATTAAGTTGTCCAGAGTTGTGTACATATGACGTCTGTATTTGTTTAGGACATTCTCTCGTGTGTGTGTGTGTGTGTTACACAGGCGTTTTTCATCGCCGTCGGAAATATAAATTAATTTTTACGCGAATTTAATGTCTGTATTAAAAATAAAAAAATGTACATAATACAATATAAATATAACGAAAATAGTCTTTTTAAAAATTATAGTAAATCGTGTTTTCAAGAGGTAGGTATAACATGGTCATAATGTTCCCGCAACGATTTGTTGTTATGTTGGTGTACGCATAATTTCATAACGAACGAAATTGACCGCTATGTAACCAGAAGTGTTTGTTTAAAAGAGAATTTAAAAAAAAAATGCTAAATCACGATCCTTTTGTTTGAAGTTGGGTGTGCGTATACCATCGTACGCTGATGCGATCTGTCAGCAAACACGCTGTCCGTACATATACTTACACGCGCCGTTATCTAATGTTTTCATATTTATATTTTAACGGATTATTTTTTTAAAATATTTTTTTTTTTTTTTAAACACGTAATTCAAATATTTAGAGTATAGAAATCGGGAGCGTCGTTTCTAATTTCGCGCGTAGCGTTGGGTAATAAAAAAAAAAAATAAATAAATACGTACCACCGCTTTCAGCGATTATTATATCGGAGGAAAAATAAATTCACAAACGGTGTTTTTCTTTAAATTTCGAGTTGCCCGAGTCAATTCGACTTGTATTGTATGATTATTGTATGATTCGTATTGTTAAAAATATAATTATATTATACACTCAGCCCCCGGCTCGGGGGAAAAAGGGCTAGAGTCAATTCCGTACGGTTTTCAACGAAAGCGTATTGAATTTTTGAAAATCGCTAAATCCATATTTAACGCCATCGTCTAAATAAGTGTCCAAACAAAAAGTACATCGTACACGTTTAGTGACTTGAGATATTTCAATTTTCAACGTAACAATGTGTTAAAATATATTGTACACGTATGCCGTCTAGACGAAAAATAAAAAGCGGTTGGGGGGGGGGGGGTGGAGAAACTACGAGAGACAAAAAAAATATCCCCAAAAATCGACAAAAAATCTCTCTTCTTCCCGGAGACCGAACATTTGAACGTTTATCGAACTCTTAAATGTTGATCGATTACAGTATACGGTATTCCGTGGGTTGCTAAATTCATCAGATCGATCAGCCGCTAGATTGCATTGTTCCTAAATTCAGTTGTCGACCAGTCCGCTGCAGGAGGGGAAGTGATCAAGCGGATTGCTTTATCAACAATATGTGTAATCGTCCGGCCGGGGACGAACACGGAGCCATCTGGATTTGATAAAAACCACGCGCCAAATTCTTCTAATATTCTATTATAATTAAAATTCGAAGGTTTTATTAAAGGTATTATTTCGGTTTCGTGTTGTTTTGTCAATCTCGAGTCGTCTTTCACGTGTTTTTTTTTTAAAAGTATTTTGCTTTTGCTGTTTTTTTGTTTTTGCTAGTTTCGGTCGCGGT